GTGGTGCTGCTACTTAAAAACCTCTTATTTGGCCTGGCCAGATCCTTTTCCTAGGCCTCACAATAGGTATCTATTCCCAGCCTAACACTTGCGCTTGATTTTTAGATGCAGAGGAATCACTTGGCACGCCACCTACAGGAGAACACCCAGTCGCACATGAGAATGTTGGCCCAGGCTGTTCATAGTTTAAGCCTTGCTTTAACTCCCTATGATCCTGCCTCTCTGTCCCGAGTTTCCTCTGGGTGTCACCCAGAAGTCCAAAATTTCCAGGAAACCATTCACCAGTTAGAAGGTCGCCTTGTAAGACAAGATCATCAAATTCGGGAGCTGACTGCTAAAATGGAAACTCAGAGCATGTATGTGAGCGAGCTCAAACGAACTATCTTTGAAGTACCTTCTAACATCTGAGTCTCCTCAGTATAGCTAAAATATGCCCCAGTTAATAAAAAGTAAGATGATTTATGAAAGGTGATCATGAGGGAAGTAATGGATGTAGTCCGTGGCTTCAGTGCATATAGTTGACTGGTTCCTGTTAAATGGTCTAGACCACAGTGAAAGTCCTGATTGAGTTTATCAAAGTTGTAGTTGTCACAAGGTGTTTTTTTTTCTAAAGTGCCACTAGAGGGTGCCAGTTCCCAGCAAGAGGAACACATCATTCATTTTCTTGAAATGAATTTTGAGTAATTTAGTGGGGGAATGTTATGAGATATTGATATTCCTTTCTGTATAACTTTTGGAAGTAAATGTTATTTTAATCTTTCAGGATTATATAATTTCTTTTGCAACTATTCAGCTCTCCTAGTGTGACACAAAAGCAGCCGTAGATAATGCGTAGTTTTCTTTAGATGAAATGTAAAGCTTCATTTTAAGTGTGATCTCATCAAACTAGAACATATGAGATGCAGGGAAAAGTATTTTTCAACCTTTGTTTTGGATTTTAGATGCCTAATCATTATGACCTAGACTGCCCTACAGCTCCAATTCCGTGCACATTCAGTACTTTTGGTTGCCATGAAAAGGTAAGTTTTTTTTCTTTTAATTCTTGACTGTAAATAAGGAATAGTCACTTCTATAGTGTAGTAGAGAATAGTAACAAGAATGTAAATGTTTATTACACAATGTGATAAATTTTTTTTTTTTTTAATTTTTTTTGGCGGATACACTGCATGAAAGTGATAAATTATTTAACAGAGTCATATGTGGATGCTATGGGCAGAAGCAAAGGCACATTTAGCAATACCCAAAGCATTCAGGTAGTCTTGACAAAACATGATGTTTGGGCTGAGTCTTAAACAGATGAAAAACATTGTCCATGAAGACAGGAGAGAGAAGACTGGTGAGAGCGAATGAGCATGGTGATTTGAGGAACAACAAGTAGTTTGTTTTATGTTATTCAACCCAGCAATCATGTAGACAATTTGAGGTGGGGTGGAGGTGGCAATACCCAAGCTGTTGGAATACCAAGACCTCAAATGAGGACAGCATGAATTGTGATGATAACAGTGAAGATAGCTCTAGGAGCCAATGTATATTTAGGAGGGAAGGACAGGGAGATATCTAGAATGACTTTTGGTTTCTGGCCTTGGTCACTAGATAGATGGAAGGGCCATTTAGCCAAAAAGAGTGAACACAGGAAGAACTGATTGGAGGTACAGGCAGAAAAAAAATGAGTTCTGTTTCAATGGTGTTGAGTTGCAGATATGAATTGACCCAGCTAGGGAACATCCAAGTGGAGATGACTGACATGTACTGTATGTGTGGCCTTAAGCTCCAAAGAGAATTGAGACTCAGAATATTGATTTGGGGACGTAATTTGTCGTGATAATGAAAGGTCTGATTGAGATATAGAGTATGTGCAGGAAAGAAGACGACCAAGGAAAGGAGCCATGAATGAACAGTGTAAGAAACATATAAACCAAGCAAGGAGAAATTGTTAGGGTCTTCAAAATTAGTTTCAAGACTTGTGATCAG